GTGACGCGCTCACAGCCACCGCAGCCTCGACCTGCTGGGCTCTGGTGATCCTTCTGCCTCAGCCTTCCAAGTAGCTGGAACTACAGGCGCGCGCTACCACACCTGGCTAATTTTTTGATTTATTGTAGAGACAAGGTCTCACCAAGCTGCCTGGGCTGATCTAAAACCTGCGGGCTCTGGTAATCCACGCCCCTCAGCCTCCCAGAGTGCTGGGATTACAGGCTGAGCCACTGTGCCCAACTAATATACTGTCTTTTTTTGTGTACAGGCCACAGTGGTGGCACTTTCTGAGGCTGTATTGGCAAAAGGGATGAGTGGAGGATCCCACATGTACCGAGGACAGCTAGACTAGAAATAACACAATGATGAAAGCCCCAAAGTACTATATTTTCTTTTGAGAAGGTTAGCATTAATCAGAGTAGATTTTCAGGTTTTTTAGAATGTCTAAGGAATGTTATCTTGATTTATAGGCCAACTGTTTTTCATTTAATTTGCAAATATGAAACAAAACAAAGGAATATCTTTGTTTTGTTATATCTCTCCTTAAGAATCTCTAATAGGAGCAAGAGTATTAAAATAAGAATAATCATGTTTGGGTGATCCACCTACATCTGTGTATGAATTTACTTCGAAGTGACTTCATCTTATACAATACACCTTCTTTTGAAATAATTACTTACAGATTACATTTCAGTTGTGCTTTGCTTTAAAATTTTTTGACATATTGGTTTTTATTTTACATGTAGATTGCTCCAGTTGTGTCAACGAACTATGGCCCTTCCTGTAGGACGAGGAATGTTTACCTTGTTTTCATACCATCCTGTTCCAACTGAGCCATTGCCTATTCCTAAATTGAATCTGACTGGTATGTTAAACTTTGGTCTAAATGAGAAATGAAAATGACTGAGTACATGCATTAGTGGTGTTCTTTGAATATATTTTAGTTAAAACTAAAGAAATACTCCCTCTGTCCCCAGGGATTTTAAATATTGCTAATTGCTGTTATAGTGTTTACTAAAGCTCAAATAATAAACTAAGCATTGAGAGAAGCATAATATAGCCCATTACTAATTTTTTGCTTTTTTTGTTTTGTTTTGTTTTTGAGTTGAAGTCTCACTCCGTCGCCCAGACTGGAGTGCAGTGGCCACTCCCGGCCACCGCAGCCTCGACCTGCTGGGCTCCGGCGATCTTTCCGCCTCAGCCTTTCAAGTAGCTGGAACTACAGGCGCACACTACCACTCCCAACTAATTTTTTATTTGTTGTAGAGATGAGGTCTCGCCAAGTTGCCCAGGTGGGTCTCGAACCCGCGGGCTCAGGCAATCCACTTACCTTGGCCTCCCAAAGCGCAGGATTAAAGGCTGAGCCACCGAGCCTGGCGATTTTTTGCTTTTTAATGAGATTATTTCAAAATACAAAACGTCATTTGTATCATTTAAATTTTAAAACTTGAAGTTTAATATGTTAAAATACTTAGTTTTAAAATGTCTTATGTCATATTATAAATATATGATCATTGTACAAAAACAAAATATAATAAACAAAAAGAAAAAAATGGTCACTAAAGTAGTTTCACTCTTCATTGTCACTTCTATGTGTTTCCTAATTTTATTTTTATGTATTTATAAGTTTATATTTGTTTGAATCTGCGAAATTGTTTTTAAAATTTATAGTGAGTGTCTTAATATCTGGCATATATGTGTTTATACGGTTGTGTTTATGTTTACATGTATTGTATACACATATTTTTAATCAGTAATTTCATTTTCTTCTACCAATTATAACTGTGCCCATTCCCCAATATTCTTGGTTACGATGGGTTTTATATTATATGCTCACCTCATGCTGGTTTAAATGTATTCTATAGGAGACAGTTTTATACAGTTGAGATTATCATTGAAAATCTCTTACAGTGTATGTGGCTTTATGAAACCGGTACACAATGTGTATGTAATATATGCAATAGTGAATAGTATATTTTTGTATTTTCTTTTTAGAGACAAGAGTCTCACTCTGTCACCCAGGTTGTAGTATAGTGGTGCAGTTATAGTTCATTGTAGCCTTGAACTCCTAGGCTCAAGCAATACTCCTGCGTTAGCTTCCTGAGGAGTTGAGAGTCAGGCATGCACCACACAGCTAGCTAGTGAATAGTATATAATATATGCAAATATAATTGCATAATATTTGAAGTTACATCAGTTTAAAAATCCAGTGTCTGTCCCATTCATATTTGTAAAGAGTTTGTACTTTGCGCAGCATACAGGAAATGAAATCAGCTGGGTGAAGAACATGTTCCATATAATGCCTACTCTGAGCCCTCATCTCATTGAGGAGCAGAGTGAGCAGAGTTTCATTTTGTATTTAAATTGTGCTCACAGAGACAAAGTACGTGTAGCAAAATCTGAACAAATTATTGAATCTTGATGGAAGGCATCATCTGTAGGTGTTCATTTAATGAGTCTTTTCAACTGTTTATATGAAGGTTTTCATGTAAAAAGTTTGTGTTAAAAAGAAAAGAATCTCAGTTGGGCTCAGTGGCTCACGCCTGTAATCCCAGCACTTTGGGAGGCTGAGGCCAGAGAATCACTTGAACCCAGGAGTTTGAGACCACCCTGGAAACACATCAAGACCTCGTCTCCCCAAAAAAAAGAAAGAAAGAAAGAAAAGATTCTCATGTAAAATTGGCAGATGTTAAGTGTATTTAATTTGAGTGATAATTTCCAAGTTATTCTTGGATGGATGTTAAAAAATAAATACATGAATTATTGTCATGTTGAATTTGCATGATTTAAAATGTGTTTGTGATATTAGTCTAGTGTTTTATCCTTTTAGCCATTCTGGTAACCAAAGAAAAAGAAAAAAAAATAGGGCGCTATTGTGCATACCTGTAGTCCCAGTTCCTCAAAAGGTGGAGGTGGGAGGATTGCTGGAGCCCAGGAATTCAAGACGACAGTGAGCTATGATTGTACCACTGCACTACAATCTGAGTGATAGAGTGGTACTTTGTCTCTAAAAAAAAAAAATACGAATACTGTTTTAATAATAAATTAATTTAGGAAAAAATATTTGCTTAAAATACTTGCATAATCCACATTGCTGTGTTTTGTTGTACTTTTGTATGTCGTTGTTAGTGAAGAAAATATTCTACTGTTTGCCTTTCATTTTCTCTTATGTGTAAATATTGTCTTATGCATATAATGAGTGAATGTTTTAGTGATTTTTTTCCTCAATCATTTATCCAATATTGAACTTTTTTGAGAAAGTACAGGTATAACCTATGAACTTGTTACCCATTGTAGTGCTCTCTGACGACACTATGCATCTCTTTAAAACTTACTTTACACAACTTTTTAGAACTCTTAAAACCATAGTTTCAAACCTCCAGTGAACTGCATAACTATGCAATAATTAGAATATTTATTTAAATATCTATATCTATGATTTGAGGTAAGATAGACTATTCAGAGTGTAAAAAAAAGAGTCAGTATTTTCCTGCACAATATAGATCAAAGCCAAAATAATCAAGAAAAAAGTTAAAAGAGAACATAGCATCATGGACATTTAATTTACATTACTCTTAAAAAATTGACCATAAAATTAAATTTAGTGAATGCTCTTTTGAAGTTCACTGGGTGACTCAAGTCTATAAGAAGATGCTTTTTTACATAGCTATTTCTGGTTTCTTTTTTTCTTTTGAAATTTTTCCCTCAACTGCCAATCCCAACCCCCCTCCCCTGGCAGTTTCCCACTATTGACAATCCCTTTCTTATAGTATTATGATAATTGTTCAAGGTTCGCTTATGAGTGAGAACATATGGTACTCTATTCTTTGTTTCTGTGATAGATCACTGAGTGTGATCGACTCTAAGTCCATCCAAGTTGCTGCGAAGTCCATATGTTTGTCCTTTATGGCTGCATAATATTCCATTGTGTATATGTACCACATTTAAAAAAATCCAGTCCAGCTTCAATGGGCAGCATGGTTAGTTCCATGTTTTTGTTCATAGCTATTTCTAAATACAATTTGGCATTTTTAACAATGGCATATAACTAGATATCTATATATATAGAGAGAGATAGACATACATAGATTAGAGACAAAACAAATTTATAAAGGTTCTCATCTCTCTGTCCTTTTTTTTGAAGACATGGTCTTGTTCTGTTGCCCAGATTAGAGTGCGGTGGCGTGATTATGGTTCACTGTAGTATCAAACTCCTGGTCTCAAGCCATCCTCTTGCTTCAGCCTCTCAAATGTCAAGGACTACATGCATGGCCAAAACATCCAGCTAATTTTTAAAATTTAAAAATTTTTTTGTAGAGACAGGTCTCACTATGTGGCTCTGGCTTCATGCAATCTTCATTGCCTTAGTCTCCAAAAGTTATCTTGTTTCTTTTTAAAATTTTGTTTTTCTTTAATATTTAGAGAAAAATACTGTCTAGAATATTTGAAATTAACATCAGTGATGTCATTCAGATGTTGGAATTTATTATTCTTGTAGCATTTTTTTTTTTTGGAAGTCTCACTCTGTTGCCCAGGCTGGAGTATAGTAGCATACTCATGACCACCACAGCCTTGACCTACTGGGCTCAAGCAATCCTGCCGCCTCAACTTTCCAAGTCGCCAGAACTACAGGCACACACCACCATACCCAGCTAATTTTTTGATTTATTATGAAGACAAAGTCTCACCAAGTTGCCCAGGCTGATCTTGAACCCATGGGCTCAGGCAATCCTCTCACCATGGCCTCCCAAAGTGCTAGAATTATAGGTGTGAGCCACTGTGCCCAGCCTTCATGTAACTTAACTGTGATGTTAAACTTCATTGAGAGTTAAATTGGAGCTGGGCTCGGTGGCTCAGCCTGTAATCCCGCGCCTTTGGGAGGCTGAGGTGAGTGGATTGCCTGAGCCCGTGAGTTCGAGACCCGCCTGGGCAGCGAGACCTCATCTCTACAATAAATAAAAAAATCAGCCGGGTGTGATAGCGCATGCCTGTAATTCCGGCTACTCAGAAGGCTGAGGAGGAAGGATCGCCGGAGCCCAGTAGGTCGAGGCTGCAGTGGCCGGAAGTGGCCACTGCACTCCAGTCTGGGCGACAGAGTGAGACTCCAACTCAAAAAAAAAAAGAAAGTTAAATTGGTATCAGGTAGCTCCTTGTATAGCCCCATGCATTTTAGCAAAAAAGAACAATGAACTATAAACAGTGGAAGTTTTTCCATCTTGATTAAGTTTGATTTGCATTTACAAAAGTTTAAATGGTCATAGAGACCTACCATCATTCCAAGTATTATGAGATTGAGAGTTTTGAATGTAGAAAAGGGAGTGTTGTTCTCAAAGATCTAAATGTAACCATTTTGGTTTTGTGAATTTGTATTCTCAGTGTTAAATTCTGTTTGTCTGCATAGGGCGTGCCCCTCCTCGGAACACAACAGTTGACCTTAATAGTGGAAACATCGATGTGCCTCCAAACATGACGAGCTGGGCCAGCTTCCATAATGGTGTGGCTGCTGGCCTGAAGATAGCCCCTGCCTCCCAGATCGATTCGGCTTGGATTGTTTACAATAAACCCAAGCATGCCGAGTTAGCCAATGAGTATGCTGGCTTTCTTATGGCCCTGGGTCTGAATGGGCATCTTACGAAGCTGGCTACTCTTAATATCCATGACTATTTGACCAAGGTGAGAACTTGTGCTCCCAGTACCTGACATTGTATCTCACCTGCCTATTACAGTAACTGCTGATTGCTTGCTCTCTCTTCTTTATTCTTAGCCCTCTGAATCCATTTCTCTCTCAATAAGCAGAGTAATCTTGCCAAAGTGTAACTCAGAATGTCACTTCCCTAGTCATAACCATTATTGATCATTCATGACTCTCCCTTTTTTAAAAACAGCTATTCAGAGGTCTAGTTTTTTGGAGGGGATCGAGGTCTCACTCTGTCACCCGGTCTGGAGTGCAGTGTTTTGAGCACAGTTCATGGCAGCCTTGACTTCCTGGGCTCAGGAGATCTTCTGCCTGACCTCCTGAGTTGCGGGGATTACAGGCATGCACCACCATGTCCGGCTCTTTTTGTATGTGTGTGTGTGGTAGAGATGAGGTCTCACTATGTAACCCGGGCCAGTCTCAAACTCCTGACTCAACCAGTCCTCCTGCCTCACCTCCCAA